CAGGTCCCTCCTGACCCTAGCTACTATGAAACTATGCCTCCATGCTTGGCTGGAGCAGACAGCTTAGGCAAGGTTAGCCCACCCTGCAAGGGGCAGTGCAAAGCATCAGGGGATGTTGGGGGACTACAAGTTGACTTGAATCTGGAGAGGACTTAGGACAGAAGTTCAATAAAGCAATTTAACTTGTCAGTCAAGTCTAACACTACATCCATCCAGGTTTATCTAATCTTACTGGTTTCAGCCATTTTGCAAGCAGTTTATGTGCACTGAACTTCTGTTGTGTTACAGATTTGAACTGGTTTCTAATCACTTGAACTGGTTTATATGTAATCAATATTTGTCCCTAGCTTAAGTGGACATGATTTTCTTTCCCCTTTATCTTCTGCCAGCCAAAATGATTCTCTTAAAAGCATTATCTTCCTTCCTACTCAGCTGCCTTTGATAACATATCAGCCTAGATCATACATATGATTTCACCAAGGCAGATCCGTTGCCAGGATCTATCCGAAAGTAGTTAGTTTAAAAAAAAAAGCAAGCAAGCAAGCAAGCAAGCTGATATGAACTTACCAACTCTATTCCCTGTGGGAAAGGAGTGTCATTCCAATCCTTCTGAGGAAATCTCTGAATAATTTTCCCCAAGCCTTCTGCCGAGCCTAACACAAGATAAAAATTAACACATGAAATAAGACCCAACTAAATAATTTACTGAAAGAAAATGCTGTAATAATTATCACACTGTATTTATACAAGAATAAATCCCATAACACAAGCATTGTTAGCAGTAGGCTATTACTCTGGTTTAAAATTGAAACAAAATAAAATAAAGACTCTGGAGCCAGGTCCACGCAAGCAGGGGTGTGCCTTTGCAGCACCACAAGTAGTAGCAGCACAAATTTCTGCTGCTACTTTGTCCTGCAGTGCATGCCCCTGCCCATGTTCTTTGCAGTGGGATACAGGGTTCTGCTGCTTCACATGCTGCAGGGGGGAGCTGGCTGGGACACAGGCATCCCCTGCACTGGCCAGCCAGGGAGCAGCACATGAAGATGGGGAGATGA